ATATTAAATTCGACCGTATTTTCATAAAAAGCCCCCCCGAAAACATAAGAGTCGACCCTGATATGGATTAAATCCGAAAAGTTACAAAAAGCCGACGCTCGAGTGTGGAGAGAGGGGGGCGCAATCTCAAATTTGACATTATTTTTATAATAAGTGCCCCCGAAAACATAACAGTCGACCCGGAGGATATTGATTATATCTAAAAGTCGATCGAAATGAATATTTCAGATTTCACATTATTCCTGAAATAATCATTTCAGATATCGTTATTCCTGAAATAATTTATTCCCGAAATAATCATTTCGGAAATAATGGTCAGATTATTTCATGAAATAAATTATTTCGGAAATAATGGTCAGATTATTTCATGAAATAAATTATTTCGGAAATAACTATCGAGGTTTATTTAGGGATTTATTCCGAGAATATTTTTCAAATAAATTCTGCCCAGGTCTAAAGCAAATAAATAATAATTGTAGCATGTGTAATACAAGCGAAACAGAAGATCTCTATCACTTCCTGGCTGCTTGAACTATTTATGAACTATTTCTTAAATGTTTATATATATAAATATTCTTAAATCATTTATTAAATAGTTAATATTCAATCTTTCTTTATTCCTGCTAACAATGAGGGATAGTTAATTATTAAAAAACAAAACAAATATAAAGTACTTTAGATGAAGAAAAATTAAGCATTTATCATTTAAGCCCAGTTAAGGGACATCAGTGGAAATGATATCTACCTGATATTAATATTCCGTATGTCATTTGACCATGAAATTGTAAATTTTGTTATACAAATCGGTACTAAATATTGGCATAGGTTTCAACAAGATATTCCATTGGTGTCGGGCAAGGAAAATAGAACTTCCGGTCCCGGCACTCATTCGAGCTTTATATCTCCGGTTCCTGAGGGGTACAAATTCTAATTATTGGTGTACAAATTAGTACGAATTAGGCACTAAATATTGGCATAAGTTTAAACTCGAAAATCCATTGGTGTCGGCCAGGGAGATGGAACTTCCTGTACCGGACTTTTGAGCTTTATATCTCCGGTTCCTGAGGGGTACAAATTCTAATTTTTGGTGTACATATTAGTACAAATTATGTACTAAATATTCGCATAAGTTTCAACTCGAAAATCCATTGGTGTCGGCCAGAGAGATGGAACTTCCGGTCCCGGCACTCTTTCGAGCTTTATATCTCCGGTTCCTGAGGGGTTCAAATTCTAATTTTTGGTGTACAAATTAGGCACTAAATATTGGCATAAGTTTCAACTCGAAAATCGATATGTCATTTGACCATGTCGCTGGCCCGGCACTTTTACGAGCGTTATATCTCCGGTTTCTGAGGGGTACAAATTCTAATTTTTGAGGTACAAATTAGGTACTAAATATTGGCATAGGTTTCAACTCAAAATTCCATAGGTGCCGGGCCAGCGACATGGTCCTAATGTTTATAACCTGGCCACTGGTAATTCTGATGAGGCACTGATAAGCCGTCTCGTAATTCCTATCGTCGTATTCATATTTATTGTATTATATTCGTATTGTTGAAATTGTAAACAAAAACAAATGTAATAATAAAAAAAAAATACTCTTATTTTACGACATATATATTAAATTAAAATATATATATATATATATATATATATATATATATATATATATATATATATATATATATATATATATGTATGTTTTATGCCTTATATATGTAAATTAAAGTGTTTTTTGATTGTTGTGGGAATTATCACAATCAAAAAACACTTTAATTTACATATATAAGGCATAAAACATATATAAGGCATGTACGTATATAAGGTATGAAATGGACAAACATAAATGTAATAATAAAATAAATGAAATAATATATATTTGACGAAAACAACACAAACGGACCAAAAATAAAGAATTTAATAACTGAATGTAATAAGTGAATAACTGTATGTAATAACTGAAAAATAAACAATGCAATGACTGAAAGGTTTGGCGAGATAAGAAGAGGGAGGTTATGTGACGTAACGTTAGATAACATAGACAACAAGGGAGGTTTTGTCCCACCCAGCTAATGGACAAGTACCCAGAGGGTGAGTTCCATGTTACTGACCTGGCACCTATGGAATTTCGAGTTGAAACCTATGCCAATATTTAGTACCTAATTTGTACCTCAAAAATTAGAATTAGTACCCCTCAGGAACCGGAGATATAATGTTTCAATTCGAAATTCCATAGGTACCGGCCAGGGACATGGAACTTCCGGTCCCTGATGGGTATTAATTATAATTTTTGGGGTACAAATTAGGTACTAAATATTGGCATAGGTTTCAACTCGAAATTCCATAAGTGCCGGGCCAGGGACATGGACCTATGAAAGGTGTTGTGGGATGGTGCAATAGCTGACGTCATAAAAGACGACAACATTCAGCTGTTTTCGGGATTCTATGAACAAGTGTGATCGAAGCGATTGTGAACCATGTGTAATTCGTGCGGAATTCTTGGTAGGGATGGGTCGTTACAGATTTTTAATGTACCTGTTCCAATCCGTTCCATTCCCCAAACGGAACTGTTCCATATTATCGATACCGTTCCAGAGCCATTACTCCAGAATTTACACGCAGGCATGGGAGATAGTCGATAGTTTTCCACTATCGATGAAAAATTAGCGGTAGTATAGATAGTCTTCCACTAATGAAAAAAAATAGAGGTAGTATCGATAGTTCAGCGACTTTCCACCACAGACTAGTGATGGGGTGTGACAGAGATTTTCTGTCAGCTCCGACAGTGACTGCTCCGGGAAAATCACTGTGACAAATCACAGTGATTTGTCACTACAGTGATTTTTTTCCGGTGTCAAATATACATTGGCTACTTGGCGACAGCGTCACTGTGAAATTATAGTTTACATGTTTAAACTTATATTAAAATAATTTTTTTTTTCCTGTGATAAATTTTATATTTGATGGTGGAAAATATCTCTGGGATCCTTTGGTTTCTGTGTACAGTCCTGTAGAGAATATTTGAATTTATTTAATTTTTAATTAATTTTTGTATTTATATTTCAACAGTTAAATGAAAAACTTCCTGATAATTATTTCAGACATTACTCATTCAGAAATATATGGCAATGAATGCTCAATTCATCTGAAGTTCAAAAAGTATTTTTAATAAAATTTGGCGAATTACTAATATTTTAGAAATAATTATTTCTTTAATTCATTTATTAAATTAATGAAGTCAACAATGCCCACACTGCTAGAACGAAAAAGAAGTGATAGAGCGGAGTGGTCAGAGCAGTGATTTCACAGCGCCAACAGTGACCGTCACTGTTGGAGCACAGTGATCGACACTGTTGGCCTACAGTGACTGTCATTGTGATTTCGGAGCGCCTGTCACTGTGCTCCGGCCCAGTCACAGCGACAGAATCACAGCTCCGGCCATATGGCCCCATCACTACCACAGACTAAAGGAAGATTTATTTGCGCTCTATTCTTTGTTCATTTACTTTAAAATGTTGCATAAGCTTCAGTTTAATTAATATAAAATATAACATTTAAATTAACATTTATGTGCAATGTAACATTAATATGAAATAAAACATTTAAAATTATAAATTTTATATTTACAAGATTGAAAATCCAATTATATGGTTACAGTCATATTGCAAATAATCTAAAGAAAGCAAAGAAAATTAATTAAACTTAAAGAAAAGAAACCTAAAAGTAACGTTAGTAAAGACAACTAATTACAAGGATAAATGTTGGTGCCTAAAAATGCGATTTTTTCTCTCATAAAATTGTCGAAGTAATAGTAACAAGTACTATTATATTTTTAATAATATAAACAAATTTTAAAGGATTCGTTTCTATATGTTTTGGCTTCTTCGTTGCAAACATCATTTATATCTTTGGAAGTTTTTATGATAGAATAATTACGAATTCACGTCCTGGAGGCAAGGAGGCTTTTAACTTTTACATTAATCTCCCGCCCTCAGCCCTGTAGACCAAAAGGCTAGGAAGGGTAAACAAATTATGGTATTTTACTCCTTTATTGAAGACCAGTGGCTGGTTACAACCTCACTTAATTATATTAATTTAAAGTTATACTGGTATATTATTATACCTAATTATAATTTCTTTCCTGTGCCTATAGTGCTGTCAAATGTATTTTTTGTAACGTAAATCCTATTTGCAGAAAAGTAAGTGAGTAATTACCAGGCCAGGAAGGAATTTAGAAATGAAAGCTCAACTACGGAACCAAGGAGGATTAACTACGGAGCCATCGTGTTAAGATGGCTATACAGTTCGTGTTGGAGCATATCCGATTCTTCTGAATTTAGTAGGGAGATGCACATGCATGCCTGCCCTCTTTTCAATCTGAATGTAGAAAAACTTGTAAGGTTTTCAGGAATTCACACTACTAGGACAATATTTTCCAGCATGGTGTTCAGCAAATGACTTTATTCTCGTAGCCAAATTAGTGCAACCCCTAAAGGCCTTTTTGACTTTAGAGAAAACTGTAAAGGAGATAAGACTCACTATCAACGAACAGAACGCAAAATAAATGTGTGTTGGTGGCGGGGGATCTAAGAACCATTCTTGAAAATCTGTGGTGCGCCTCCCCTAACGTCGATAGTGCATGAGCTCCCCCACAAGTTCCAAGATATTTTATTGCTCTACTCTTCATTAAAACAATGAAGTGAAAGTAGAATTAGAAAAATCGTAAATCGTATACGATTACACATGCTGTGGTCTGTTCCATGTTTTCTTTTGATCCAATGTTTTCATTCCGAAAATTCTTAACCCCGTCAAAATGTGCCATTCTCAAAAATTCAAAACCCTGTCAAAATGCTACTTCGAGCTTATAACTTTATGTTCTGAAATTAGTTGTGGGCAATTCTGGAGTAGAAGTCAACGTTTGATAGCTCATGGCAGAATTACGTTGGTAACAGGTCATTTATTAGTTACATGACCTGGATATTATCGAAGTGGCTTGGGGGTGTAGATCAGCTGAAGCCAATTGTGGGTGATGTGATGTTTTGGTATTATCATTTTAGTTGTCTTCATGTTAATTCTATTCGACATAGGGTAGGATCTGTTCGTTGATGTATCTACTGAATTTTGAGGATGGCTGAACCACATATCACAAACCAACCATTGATGAAAAATACAAGTAGGAAACAAATCCTGTACTATCCCAACCCCATAATATACTATTGACCATTTTTTACTTCATATTAATTTATTCAGATTAATATCTGTTAATTTGTTTTTATACACTAATTATTACTTAGTCCATGTATTATCATCATTGTTTCAATTGGCAGATGTACAAAATGATACAGAGGAACCTTATCCGAGTTTATCAGATTTTCATGATTATGAACCTAATTTAGAATTTGATGACACAGAACTACAAACAGCCACTGTTGATCTTGGTATGTATTTGATTTAATATTTTAGTCCTACAGTTGAAAAATAATGCAAATATTGTTAAATAACTTACATAAATATTTTGTCTTTTAAGGACAGTTTTTGATACAAAGTTTTTCATCAATAAATATTCTCATTTAATCTGTGCATTTTATTTATGACCTGAAGTGTTTGTGTTAAACTTCATATTTTAACGCTGAAATGTATTTCCAAGTAGAGTAAATTTAATTATTTCAAACCTCCATTTCACTAATCAGTTTTTTATTTGAATGCTTTTGTTGTTCAATATATTTATTTTGTATTTTAATAACACAGTATACTTACAATTTTTTGCTCTAATTTCCTACTGATAACTCAGAACCCGAACACCAGTGGTGTTACACCAATTTACAAGAAACATAACATTCAGAATTTTAGATTAATTTCAATTGAAAATATGGTATATTGATTCAACCCACTTGTCTTTTTATTACAAATTCTGAGTTTAAAATTATCTAATTAAAAGATAGTGTAATTTATAAGTTAAGGAATTACAAATCAAGCCTCACCTAGATGGGTGTGCACATCTCATGATCACAATATTATTATATATGGGATTTGAAGTTTTATTGATATAATATTGACTCAAAGATTTAATATAAGAAAATAATATAACGGGCTCACGGTTTTAAACACCCTTTATTTAGATCGAGATTTATGACTTTTGCAAACTCCCAACCGGTCCTTTTGCATCAAAATTGGGATCTTAATTAGGTTTATTTACATAGCTGCTTTCAAGTTTTGCTATCTATGGTCACTCAAAAAGGATTAACAAACAACAAATGGATTTTTATAATTGAGTTCTGGGTCTTACTAGACAGTTAAGTCAACTATGTATATTTAACCATTCTTGGAATTCCATTTATAATGTGATCATACCATCTTGTGCCCACTTATCAACTTGGAGCATACTTGTAAAGTAGTATCCATTTAGTTTCTGCATGTCTAATATTTGTTTAATGAAAAGAGAATTCTTTTTATTTCTCCTTTTTAGCACTTGATGCCAAAGTTGAAGCATTAGCTGCAAGTTATGATTATCTAGAATCACCAGTTTCTGATGGCACTATAGAGGAAAATTTTGAAGAGGAATTGGTTGATGCACCAACTGGCTATGATAGCCTAACATATCAATATGGTGATGATGATTATGATGCTTTTAGTGATGTTGCAAAATATGGTATTGTTGAAGTTTTTGGGGATGACACTGCTGGAAGAAGAATCATTGTAGTTTCTGCTTGTAAACTACCTCCGAGCAAGGATTTGGATCACTCAAAACTTTTGAGGTACAGGTTTTTCAATTAGTAAAATTACAGATTTAATTTGTGAATAATAATTATCTTCAAATAAATTTCGGGTTGCACTGTAGTATCAGTATCATGTCTGGGTACCGTCTGTTTACTACCATAACCACCATTAATAGATGTCTACTAGTTACCTGTAACAGGTTATATAACCTGATCATTCAGAAAGATTTTTCTTAAATAGAAAGTGTTAACTTAAGAAAGATAGTAGTTCATGAGAGTTCTGCATGGATTAGGTGTGGTTCACAATCAGTTTGATCACACTTGTTCACTGAATACCGAAAGTATACGGGTTTTAACTGAAACAGTAGGAAGACGACCAATCTCTTGAGTTAGTTTCAAATAATTTTTCTGCCTTAAAGTACTGGATATAAAAATGAAAAATCATCTATATTCCGGGACTAGGTCTCCTAAAAATAACAATAGTGTTCATACAAGTTAACAATAAATCTGGCCAAAAGACCTATTACAACAAAGAATAACTAAAATATAAGTAATAAAATAAGAAAATAAGTATATACCTAGCTCCAAGGATTTATTAACGAAAGCAGATGGATACTATGGTTACGATACTGCAATATTGGTGCTAAAACAATAACATAAAAAGGTACTTGTCCATTAGCGGGGCGGGATGAAACCTCCCTTGTTATCTATGTCACATAACCTCCTTCTTCTTATCTCACCAAAACTTTCAGTTATTACATTGTTTATTTTTCTATAAATAGCATGAAACTATTTTGCCTACCAAAATAAATAAAATAAAGTGAAAATAAATTGTACATATGTCATTTATAGTGTTTATATTGTTTCTTTTATATGTTCATATGTTCTTTGTGTTTTTTTATTATTTCATTTCTTTTTGTCCATTTCATGCCTTATATATGTTTTATGCTTTATATATGTAAAATTAAAGTATTTTCGGATTGTTGTGGGAATTATCACAAATCCTACATTTATATATTTATCATAGAGAGAATCACTTTATTATCATAAAAGGGTGCTGCCCAATTACATTAGGTTGCTTTAAACACAGCATACTTATTAATCTCTACAGACAATTTTCCAAAACTAATATACAATTATACAGTATTAACAATAAGTATGAGCATAGTGTACAATTTTTTTTTTTATCTATATATATATTTTTTTTTTTATTATAATTTTTGTTCCTATATTTTTTTTTTATTTATTTATTTATTTTTTTTTTTTTACTATTTCTTTCATTCATTTATTAGCATTATACATCCCTTTCTGTTCCTTCTCTTCCCTTATACATTTTTCTCATTCCCTAGATTTTCTCCTCTCTTTTTCTAACCTAATTCATAACATGCAACAAATACATAAAGTGCAGTGGACGTGGTCAATAAATAATGTAAAAATGCTGTAAAACATGCATGCCACCCCCCATGACCAAACTCTCTCTCTATCCTTGCACATGGTGATGGATAATTCCCAGGGAGTTGAGGATTATATTCTCCGCCAACCTTGCCACGTCCTTTATGTCGACACCAAGGCCCTCCATGAAGCTCCTTGTTGAGTTCGGTATCGTTTCGCGAGCTCCGAACCAAAGGCCTCTCACTTGGAACTCTCTCGGCCCGAAACTCTCGCAGAACTTTTCACTAAGGAAAGGGATGCATTTCTCATAGGTCTTTTTTTTCTCTCTTTCCACTTTGTCTGCCTGATCGAGGTCACTGGTCTCATACCTCACGGTATGATCCAAAATCATCGCCGACTTTCCCGTCTTAGGGAATGCTACAATGTCGGCATATCGGGTTGATCCATCCGTATCTATACAATAAACTTCCTCGAAACAGGCGTAATCTCTCTTTTTAAGGAGCCTCATCAGTTCATGTTTGACTCTGTGGTGGCGGCGTGTTATTAGGAGGGAGTTATTGGGCCATTTCCCAAACACATGTGCTGGTGTTTCTGGCTCTGTCGCATTTGCGACAGAGGGACCCTACTTCTCTTACCTGTCCGCTGACACCTGGGACTCCACACAGGGGTGTATAATTAATATTTAGTTTCAGGGCATTTGACCATTCAGACCCAGAAAGTACTTCCTTATCGTACATATATTTATTGGCTTTCGTGGTCTCCTTAAAATGGCTAACTCCAATGCCCTGTCACCTGCAATTGGTCCATTCCACGAACGAATTTTCTCGAAGCGACTGCCGTAGAGCTCTCATATTTCTAATACCCCGATTAACCCCCAATCTCTCGTCACATTCAGCTACCTCAGCCGAATAATCGAAAATCGATTGGAATAGGACATCGGGCAGATTGGACAGTTGCTGAGCAATGGACCAATGTTGTAGAGGAGCCTCCCATTGGCAGCAGATTAATCCTAATCCTCAATACCTCCTGTGAGCGTATAGCATCGCCGTGGAAGTGTTCGCAGGGAGTCCAACAATAGCCTTCACTCACACTCCTGCGAATCATGGTGTCGATGCCGTCAAGTATGGCAGGACATAGCTTTGTGAGGGGTGCAGTTTGGAGAGAGTAAGTAAGAGCCGGGAACAGATATTGATTGACAATGTTTAGCTTCTGCTCCGGCTTAAGCAAGGGAGAGGTTACCAGTTTATTGAGATTGTCGTTCAATTTGGTCACCGAATCTTCGTTGAACTGTAGCTCTCCCGAGAATATACATCCTAAATACTTGATTGTATCTCCATTCTGCAATGTTTGGATGTACTCTCCATTCTCAAGGGAGAGCATCGCTGTTTCCAGCTCTCCTTTATTTAGAACGATGCCCACGCTTTTTTGAGGATTTATAGCCAAACCGATTTCCTCAAATGTCCTCTGTACGCTGCCAATGACTCTTTCTGCAGCCCCCCTGTCACGCGCCGACACTGCCTGGTCATCCGCGAAACCTGTGAGGACCACACAACCTTGGTCACTTTTTAACTGATATTCAAATTTTTTTGAAAATTCTTCATCGCACAGGTCGCGATAGAGATTGTCGATGGCCAGGTTGAAGAGCGACGACGACAAGGGGCCGCCTTGGGCCACTCCAAGCAGCACTTTGATTTGGCTAGTTGTGTGAACACCGTTACTAATCTTGATTTTATTCGTGCAGAGGAGAGCCGATATAACACGTTTAAGATCCGGTGACACACCTCTTGCTTCTAAGGAACTCAGGATGTGTTTGTGGCCAACATTGTCAAAAGCACCGACAACGTCAAGAAAGACTACCGCACAATCATTTTTCATAATTTTTGCATCTTTAATATAGCGTCGATAATCCTTGCGTTGACATGCATTCCCAGGAGGCCTTTTATAAAACCTCTCTGATTCCTGTGAAAGGTGACCTGCTTTCTTATTTCGTGGTCCAGAACCTTCTCTATGATTCGGCGCACAGTAGAATAAATGGTGATGGGTCTCCAGGTAGAGATTTTGTTTACATCACCTTTCCCTTCATATATTAATATTGTGCGCCCTTGTCGAAGTGGTTCTGGGACATAGGCCATCTTCAGCATTATCTCCGCAATTTTTTTGATAATATTTGTTACATCAAAATATTTAATCGTGCGGATTAGAACTCCATCAAGCCCCGGCCGGCGATGTGTCCATTGATGTTGATTTAATGGCTTTCTTGATAGCTTCTAGATCAATGGACACCAAGTTTAGCATCGGGGCACACTGTTCGTAACCCGCATACCCACGGAGATTTTCGCTCTCAAAGAGGTCTTTATAATGTTTTTCGATATCGGCCATCTTCAGAGGGTACCGCTTAGGAGCGTCAGCATTCATAACTGTTAGCGCGACCTTTTTCCTTTTATTATAGTAATTATATTGTGCAACCTCATACTGATACTGTTCTGCCGTAGGAATTACAGGAAGCCTTATCAGAATTATCAGTGTTCAGGTTATAAACATTGGCAGATAGCAGTCCGTCCCACCCGGCTAATGGAAAAGTACCCATAAAAATAACTAAATGAAATTAGAAAGGAACGCTAAATAAATTTTATAGGCAAACCATTGTATTTATAAAATATATAAAAAAAAAAATTGGATAAGATATAGATGTACTCTTAAACTTGTACTGTTATACAGCATGAGCTGACTTATATTGACATTTAGGTTGTATTTTATAACCTTAATCAAGCTTATACATATACTATACAGTTGTGGGGGAAAAAAAGAACAGTAATAGAATTTTTTTTTTATATTTGGGTTTTATACAACTTAAAGAGTCATATCCCCAATACCCAAAAGCCACTGCTCCCTGTCCATCCAATCTCCTTCACAGAGCCCTCTGGCTGCCATGCTTTCCTCTAGGCCTTCCACGCTTCCTTCTTCCTTTGGCCAGCGGTTCTCATCCATCTGCATTAAGTGGCCATACCACTTTAACTGTTTGGTCCCGATCAGGTGAAGGATGTTCTTTTAACATCCGACCTTGTCTCTAATAGCTGCGTTTGGGATCTGCTTGATTCTAGATATGCCACAGCTTCTTCTTCTTTACTCCATAGGGTTGAATTTATCGAACTCATTATTCTTTTCCCATTATTTATTTTATGTTCGATGTCAACCTCACTACCTCCCTTTGTAGATAGCCAGTATCCGAGGTACTTGAACTGCTGGCTGACCTTTGGTGTCCAGTCATCAATTTCAACTGGCAAGTTTGGAGCGTTGAAAACCATGCACTCTTTTTTACTGAGGCAGTAATAGATAAAAACCTTTAATTGTGGCTTGATGTTACAGGATTGAAATTTAATTTAACAAAAAAGATGTTGTATTTCTGTATATTCCTTAAGGAATTTTTGTTAAATTAGATAAAAACCTTTAATTATTATATCACTGAATGTTATTTCATGATATATATTTTTCTTATTGAAGATTTTCATGATTCAGTATTATGGAGTTTTATATAGATATTTTTCATCAGCTGTATTCTCTGCCATGTTCAATTCTTCCTCAGAAATAAATATCCATATCCAAATAAACTAATTTTTTTTTTTTTTTGTATATAACACTACAATCAG